AAGCTCGGTGCTGAGCCAACCCTATCTCAGAACAAAGATGGAGGATCCTCGGCCGCTTAGTGAGGGAAGGAAGTCTGGGGGCGGGTGTTTTCTAAGTTTATTTATTTCAGATAAGCTTTCTCTGCGGCATTAGGTGCCCCTTATGTCGTACGTAACCTTTCAAAGGTGGAAATAATTAGAAAGTTAGAGCCTTATACAGAATTAATGCCTTCATTATCTGTTTTTTTTTCCTGAAAACATTATTGATAATTAATTAAACTGATGAAAAACCTGAAGTTCTAAATCTTTCATTCTAGGTTAGTGGGGGAAGTCACCCTCATTACATACATGAGTGGAAATGCGCCCATGGGTTCCTGCCACCACCCCACCCTGCGTGGTGACGTTTGGGTGTGTTAAGAGGATCACTAAGGGCTGATTGGTAACTTGGAATCAGGGCGAGAAAAAGACACCGACCAACGTAGCGATTCTGGAGCAAACGCACAGAAGGTCCCCCAGACGCCACTGGGAGGAATAAACGAGGGACCCTGCAGGGATTTTGTTCCGAGACACAGAGAGAGAGTGTCCTGTGTTGTCCCTTCATTCATGCCTGGAATCATGCCGGGCCCAGCGCTTACAGCGTGGGCGATCGGAGGATGAGGGAGCTCGGCCTGTGAGTCCCCGTGCGGGAGGCAGATGGAGCCCTTCCCAGAGGAGAACTCAGCCCGCAAGGAGCTTGTCAAGGACCAGCTGTGTGCTCCCAGCAGGTCTGGGAGGAAGGGGCAAGTGGACCAGCGGGGAGATGGGCTCCGTGGAGGCTGGAGTCCGGGACGGTGGGTTGCACCCAGACGCAGCTGCTGCTTGTCTTTCAACCGCATACGCAGGGAGTTTGTTGTTAACGAGCGGGCCAGCTCCCGCGTGCTGGCACGTGGGAGCTGGCACGCTCGTTAGCGTGTGAGGACGTGAGCTGCAAAGTCCTCGCCTACTCCTGCTGTAGCACAGGGCACCTGTCGCATCTCAGCCCTGGGATGATCTGACCACGGCGGCAATGTTGTTCCCCCACTGTGACGCTGCAAGTTGGGCAGTTGTCCTGGCACCCTCTGGTCCCCCTCACGAGGGGGGCAACCCAGGGGAGCCCACCAGAAGGGCCTTAGGTGGGAGCTGACGGAGTCAGAAGGCGTGATTCCTCGCCTTGTCTAGTGTTTTCTTTCGTTTTCACATGTGGGTCTTTGGGTAGGTTTGCTGCCTCTGGTTCATGCCGACCTTCAGCATTCTCTCTCACCTCACAGGGTCCCGACGGGACCCCGCCGCTCAGGGGGAGGACAGGGGAAGCGGGCTTGCTTCCAAAGGGGCTGTTGACGGCAGAGTCACTGCAGAGGTGCTGCCAGGTGTGGGGCACTCACATGGGGGTTAGTCCCTGCTGAGATGGTCACCTCCAAGGCGACAGGGGAGCAATTTGTAATGAACTCAAGAAGAAGGGTCTCGTGGGCACAGCCCCTTTGAGAAGAGCTGCACCTTCGGTCTCCGAGCCTGGGGCACAGTCAGCTGGAGGGCACCTGGCAAGGAGGCAACGGGAGGAGCAAGTACCCGGCCTCACCTTCCGACTTCCCTCTGTTCACCTGTTGGGCTTCTGCGGGGAGGACTCAACTGGGACCCCCAGGAAGACACCGGCCCCCACAGTCCTCGAGTCGGGCCTGAGTGAAAGGGCATGGACCAGCACCTGCTGGTGGGCAGGGGCGTAAACCCTGGGGGAAAGATGGCCACGGGGCCCTTGCTGTCACACCTGCGGTCTCTGTGAGGAAGCAGCAATGACAGAGAAGGGAGAGAGCTGAGGCGGAGGTCAGCAGTGAGCAGCGCAGGACAGTGGCCAGCGGGCCGTCAGACCTGGCTGGCATTTCTCAGGGATGTCAGCCCCCTGGGGTGGGGGGGCCACGGTCAGGGCCATGGTGCGGCTGCTGCAAGGCTACTCGCCTACTGGGTTTGACCCTGACCGTCTGTGGCCGTGGTCTCCAGGAGAGACCAGCTCTTGGGATCAAGCCCCAGTGCTGGGGACAGAAGTGCACTGAGTGAGGATGCGGCCCGTCCCAGGGACCGCACGTTCGGTAGAAATGGCGCACTGAAACCGGCGAGCTGGTCTCGATACGCCTGCTCCCGCTGAAATCCACGCGCAGGTGTCAGTGTGTATAAGACATGCACATGCCTCCCGTGTGTGGCCCCCCAGCTCACGGAGGTGGTAGGGGACCCGTGAATTGCTCAGAGAGAAGACGAGCCTGTGGCTTCCTGGGTCACAGCCCCCCACCCCCTGGCATCTGTCCTGGATGGGATTCGGGGAGGCCTGTGTTCTGGGCTCGCCTCCTAGATTGACCGACGGACTTTCTGCCACCTGAGAAGGCAAGTTCAGTGGTCTGGACCCTCCCCCTTCTCTGGGAAGTGAGAGCTTTCAAGTTCTTGGCTAACACACCGCTCGCACGCTCTGCTTCTTCCTGCTTCTGTACAGAAAGTTGCTGATGGGCTGGCTTTGCCGAGCGTCACCTACTGGCGTAGGAATTTACAAAGACCCTGCTGGACCTACCCGACAAACAGCGCTACTATTTTAATTTTATAAATGAGGAAGCTTGGCTGGAATCACATAAATAATTTTGCAGCTCTCGAATCCTGGTCTCTCCAGCTTCAAAGCCTCTGTCCTTTCCTCTACGAAACATTTACTTTAGTTTGGTCACACCTTCTGTGTAGGTAACATCACCATTTATGTTACCTCAGCTCTCAGGAGGCTTGCTGTCTCTTCTCTTCCCTATTTTCCCTCATGATTAGCTCTCATGTCTGAAAAAAATGGTCTAATACTGTTGGGAGAAAGTAAAAAACACTTCTTAAAGCCAAACGAGTAACGACTTATTTGTACATTTGCATTCGGATAAGAACAGAAGAACTATCTTCTTACCAAGGCGCTCCTGTCTGTATGTTAGACTGGCAGGAACGTCTGACGCCTAAGTGATCTGCTATTGACCCTAACATTGGCCTGATGTCAGGGTTCGCCTGACGTGCACTCTGTGTTACTGTGGAACATTTCTGCAGGATTCTTAACCGTCAAATACTAATTCCGCAATTATTAGAACCACAGCGCCCTCTCTGTGGAATATCCTGCAGTAAAAGCTAGCAGTGACAAAATATTAGAACTTAAAAAAAATCTCTCCTTCCTTCCTCCATCTCTGGGCTGTCTCCTTCCTTCGTAAGCCCAGTCTAACTTGGATTGACTCTGTCCGTGAGGGGTTGCCAGGCAGCGAGTGCAATGCAAATGTCTGCAGATGGATGATGTTGTTCGTGGGAATCTAAGGGCCTGAGTTCCGGTCAGGGCTCGGGGAACCCAACCTGCTGTAGGCAAATGCTTGCATCCCCCCAATATGTATTTATTAGAATCCTCACCCACAATTTTATGGGATTTGGAAGGAGCGCCTCTGAGGGGTGATAGTCAGTGAGGGCAGAGCCCTGACAATGGGATCGGTGGTCTCGTAAGAAGGGACAGAGAAGATGTCCCCTCCTGTTCCTGCCCTCTTACTCTCTTACGCTCTCTCCCCCCAACCCCCACCTTCTGAAGCTACAACGAGAGACAGACCGACAGCTGCCAGTGAGCCAGGAGGGAAGTGCTCATCGGACGCTGAGCCTGCCTCCGCCTGAGTGTGGGACTGCCAGCCCGCGGCACCACCTCGCTGAGGGCACTTTGCTAGAGTGGTCTCGGTGCCTGACGCAAGTGTCCCAGTGGTCTGGGACCCCTCTCTGTCCTCTCCCGGTGCCGGAGGGAGGGCCACCGGGCTGCTGTTGCTTGGACAACCAGAAGGAAGCCGCCAAATGGGGGGACCGAGGGGCAGAGGTGGTGAGCCTACAGTGTGATGATTAGAAGATGTTTATTCTTGTTTGTTGTTCACTCGTGAATTTTAGTGGAATTCTCGTTAGGGAGAGAACCTGGGGCAGCAGCCCCATTTATCAGGCGGGTGAAAACACAGTTGTTCCAGCTGGGGGCGCTCCAAACGCTCGCCCTGAGCCCTCCCTCCACGTCTACCCACATCCGGCAGCAGAAAACAGCGCACTCAGACCCAAGGACTGGGGACAGGAGCACCACGGGGCAGGGGAGGAGGAAGACCCCAGGCAGGAAAGGCAGCACAGCTGGCGGGAGGTCTAGAAAAGAGCTCTGTGCGTGGGAAGGGGCCACACTGTGCACCCGCCCTCTGGGCATCCCAGTGGGAGCTACTCACCCGCACGTAGTAGGCCACAAAACCCACAGTGGGACAAGGACTGCGGAGAGCACAGCGGTGGGAAGAAACGAGAAAAGAGCTCCCTGTGCCGGGGGCGGGTGGGGTCAGGAAAAGCCACGGACAGCGAGTCTCCTTATCCCACCTCTGCACTCAACGAAGACAGAGAGGGGACTTCCGGCCCAGGAGCGGGGCTGAGTAGCCGGGAGGGGCACGGCCACCAGGGAGGTGGGTGGCAGGGGCTCCCTCCCTTCACTCAAACAGCTGTCGCTGGGGTCTGCCACGGGCCGGGCGCACCCAGGAGGGGCCCCGTGGGGGTGCCCCACATTCTTGTTCTCCGGGAGGGAGGGGCACGCTGCCCCGAGGCTCCCTGACTCTGCAGGCCGTGGAAGGACGGGGATATTTACACAGGAAAACGGTGAGGCCAGACTTCCACATGCCGAGATCAGTGCAATGAGTGGGGTGGGGGAGTTGAATGCAGAGCGGAAGGGGGAGGGCACCTGGCAGAGGGACAGGTGTTCGAGGGGAAACCACCGCAGTGGCAGTGAGGAGGGCGGAGCGTGAAGACGGATTCGACCTGCGTTCAGGAGGCAACGTCAACGCGACATTCTTCCCCCGCAATGGGAAGTCGGGGGACATTCTCCCTACCGGGAAGTGCTTCTGAGGGAGAAACCCGGACAGAGCTGGGGTGCGGCTCGGCCTGCACAAACAGCCCAGAGAGGACGCTGCCCCCCCCCCCCCCACGATGTGCGCTTCCCACAAGGAAACGGGGGCACTCACAGACGGAGTTCTTGTGGCTGCCGTCCTTGCCCGGCAGCATCTTCACCCCTCGGGACTTCAACTCGATCGCCTTTTTCACTGGAAGAAGAAGAACAGAGCCATTAGCAGGGGCGGAGGGCGAGAGACCGCGCGGTGGCGTCTGCCCGCACGCGCTTCCCTGGTGGGACCACGTGCCCGTCACGCTCTGGGAAGTGGGCCACAGCCCGGGCGGCGACGGCGAGCAGCACACCGAGTGTGACAGCTGGAGGGAGGTGACTCCGGGTCACCAGACAGCGAGGGCGCTTCCTACGGCCGCAGCCCCTCACGCCGCTTCTCATGCCTCCTCCGCACCGTGGCATTTCTATGACCCTCCTCTGCTAGGAAGCGCCTCCCCACACCCCGTGGTGGTCCGCTCTCTGCTCCGCCCCCGGGGCAGGTGGCAGGTGGGCCCCTCCCCACACTGGGCAGGCAGGGGCACCCACTTGTTCCCTTCTTGGCAAAATGCATTGGGGGGGGCTGGTCTGGGGGGGATTCGCATCCTCCTGATCTCGTCCTGTAAGCTGCACACCACGTGTCTGCAATAGATCTCAGTTGTCTGGTCTTTGCAAAGGAGACTTCTAGCTTTGTATCTCCCCTGGGGGCGACGGGAAGGGCGTGCCCCTGCCGCGTGGATGAGGGGTGGGATTGGCCCAGCGTGCCCCTGATGCGGAGGGGACCCCTGGTGGCCGTGGAGGTAGCCACGCCTCGGTGACAACTGTAGATACCCTTTCCTGGAAGGAGAGGCCGATGGCCATTGTCACTGTCAGGCCCTTTCGGGAATGCTTAGCTGCTGGCAGCCACCTCCCAGGGGTGGACACACCAAGGACTAACCGGTGTGAGGACACAGGTCCAGAGTGGCCCCCCCCCGAGATGTGTTTTGGCTCCAGCAGCCTGTGCATCACCACCGAGGGGGCCTCTCCTTCCCCACTGGCCTTCTCTGCTCCCCTCACGACAGTCGCCCCAGAGGGTGTTCCACGGGGCACCTGCCCCCACGACCGTCCCGGAGAAGCAGCGCCACACATGCCAGTCGCCTTCCTTCTCCTTCCCGCCTGCCCTCCCTCTGGGCCCCTCCCCTCCCGTCCTGCCTGCACCGTGAGCACGACCCCGGAGACACTCGGCGAGACTGGAACCCTCGCTCCACGGCCCCGCTGGCCGCTCGTGACCTCTGTCCAGCCCCCCAGGACCGGCTCTCCTGGAACCAGGCAAACCGCCTCCACCTGTCCCCTCACTGCCGCCTTCCTGTGCTCAAACGCCTCTACCTCAAACCCACTCAGGAGAGAGGGGAGTTCACGTGATGCGTGTGCCACGAATAAGGAACAGAGAACCGATGGGAGATAATCAACTCAAAGCAAAGGCCACCCAGAACAAACAGACAAAACACAGGGGACTCAACAGGCTCGCACGCTCCGAGAAGAAAGAGAAACGTGAGCCGTCCTCAGGGTGCGATAAAGGGACCTGAAAACACGGGACACAGCTGGGCGTCCCATTGTTTCTTAGATTTGGCGAGGAGGTGTGTGGAGCTGAGTAACGCTCACGTCCACCGGGGGTTTGGCTGGTTTGTTTTGCAGGAGGAGGGTAGCTTTCTGCTGCCGCCTGGCCCCAGTGATGGGCCCTAACCTGCTTCCAGGGACTGTCCCTTCTGGTTGGGCAGGGGCGCTCGGGCAGCCTGCAGAGGGGAAAGGCGTCCTGTGTGTCCTGAGAGCCCCGCCCGGGCAGGACGGACACTCCCACCGGGGGTCCGAGCGGCAGGCAGGGTGGGGTCCCCACACGGGAGGGAGGTGCGTGCACCCCAGGGGGACCAGGCACTTAGCGCGTCCCTCCAGCTGCTTTCCGTGATCGAAGCTTTGTCGCCTCTTCCTTGTCCAGTGTTGTAGTGGACGATGAAGCGACTGATGGAAGGGCTAATGCTTGCGTCCAGCCTTGGACCCACTGAGGGAGCAGCCCCAGGGCAGGGCCCGGCCCTCAAGCTTTGGTGGCTAGCACAGCTGCCCGGGTTTTACTTGTTTGTTTAATTTACTCTGTCTCTTTTCTCTTTGTTAGTTTGCGTTTGAGGGGAGGGGGTGCTCAATAAATGCTACAGTTTTTATCTGAGACTAACTCGGCCTGACCGGGTCATTTCCCAGTAATTCAGGTTCAACAACTTCGAGTACAGAGGGGCAACATCCCTGCTCGCAGCGACGTCTAAGACGGTGGGACATTCTGGGGACCGTGCCTGCACTTTAGGGGGAGAGAGGTTGAAAAACACTGCAGTAATCACACACAAGGAGCAGAACTTCTTAAATTTACTTTTCCTTCCTTCCTTCCTCGCCCACCCCCTTGTATCAGCTGCTTTCACTGTAATCTCCCCATGGTCCCTCGGTTGGGGATAAACCTGCTTTCCCCGGGCAGTCTGAAAATTTGAGGTCCCTGGAGCTTCCCGTGCCAGAGAACACGGTTCACCATCTAAAGCCCCACTTCCCCCATAACAAGAGCTCAGATGACCCCACGTAAATGCATAGAACTCGAGTCGTTTCAAATGAACTTAATTTGCTAGATATGGGATGGAGGCCATTGAGAAACTTGTTTCATGTAAACACACCAATGACAGACAAACTGGAAGAATTCGGGGCTTGGAATTAAAAATATAAGCCTGTTTATCCAGTTTATGGCTCATTCAGGGGATCATCATAACTTTATTCGTTCCACTCTGGGCCAAACAATTCTGCCTAAGCCGTCCACCCAGAGCGTGTTCACTGCTATGGCCAGCAGTTAATTGCCCTTTACTAATTTAACTATGATTAGTAAACACATCAGCAAAAGTGGCGAATCCTCACAACCCCTTCTCCCCAGTGGGCTCTGCCCAGCCCCCCAGGCCCCACAAGGTCTCGGTTTCTGTCCTCACTCACTGGTCCCCACCCTGAGTGCAGCCCTGTGACCCTCCGGTACCTACCACCGTGGGGTCCCCGTGTCCGGGGAAGCCCCAGGGCCACACTGCCAGCAGCGGTGTTGAAATCAAACAAAATACTGTCGTGCTGTGATTCTTAGTAATACTTTTAAAAACTGCTGTGCCCCGGGTACTATGCACATTGCTTTATCCACAGCCTCTTCAGTTCTGGCTCTGTGTTTTAGGATTTATGCCATTTTTCCAGTATTTATGCCATTATTCCTGTAATTCACAGGAAAACCCTGACATACAGAGCTCAGCAAGTCACCCCAGGTAACACGCCCTGGGTGGCGGAGTGACTCCGGGGGTGAACTTGGAGCCAGGAACCTGCCTGTGGTACTGTCAGGGAGCGCTGTCCTCTTGGGGGTTATGTCACCGGTTCTGACCGCACCTCACTCTTCGTTCCCTTTTCGTAATAAAGGAGGGAGCTCTCGCCTCACAGGGCGTGGTGCCTGAATAGTTACGCGCTGGTAACTGCGCTTCCTCATTACGCTCGTCTTTCAAAGCAGCCTGTACAGTTAGTTACCCAGGCATCTCCCTGCCGTTTGTTTAAAGGGGGTTGGAAGTCTGTTCGAATCGACCCTCTCACAGCGAAGGTTGGCCCCGAGTCCCATAGCATCAGTTACTTCCCTTTTCCACGGACGCCTTTATGTGTGAGGGTAGCCCTCCGTGGATGTCTCGGGAAATCTGAGACAGACCTATACATTAGCAAGGAGAAAACGAAAAGTGCCGTCTCTTCACTGAAACAACCAGCGTTACTGTTTTGGGGCCTTTATTTCCCACCCTTTGTGCATTTGTCTGTAAACTCAGAGGGTAGGAAGGTAGAGACGCACTTATGATGCTCACAGAACAAAAAGCCACACCTGCATTTCGTTGGACTCCTGCTACTGCGTTCAGCACTTCACCCGACTGCGTGTTCCTCATTGCACGGCATATGCCGCCCGCATTTCCCGAGGTCGTTAAATGTTTTCTCAAAATGCTTTTCATGGACCAGACATAACGCATTTAACTCTGTGACTATGAGACACCGGCTTCTTTTCCCCTCCATGTGGCAGTGCCCCGATCGGTTCTGCGCACTAAGTCGCTGGGTCCTGACGGGGGGAGGGCCGCCTGGCCCCCAGAGAGCCCGTCCCGGTGCGATCCCAGCTGTTTCCACGCACCTGCTGACCCCCGCACCTCGGCCGGCACTGGGTTTTAGCACCTAGAAGAAAGCATTTCCTGACTTGGCAGCTGAGAAATGCCATCTCTCTGGTCTTTGCATCTAAAATAATTAATATCGCTACTCACTGATTCTCTGACATAAACCTCAGCGTTCTTGCCTCGTGGTCTGTATGTTATTGTATGAGGAGCTTGGTTAGACCACAGTACTGTCTAATCCAGCAGTGACTGTTCTCTTTTCGTCACGAGGCTCCTTTGCCAGCAGCTGTCCCTGCGGGCCTTCCTGTGTGTCCCTGTGTGTCCATATTCCGGCATTCTTCCACTTTTTTACCAGTTTTTATGAGGTCCTTGAACGTGGACCCTTGAGAGAAACTGACGGCCGCACTTCAGGAACTAGATCATTTCGTTTTTATTCCTGAACCAGCCGGCACGCCTTGGCCCTCTGTAAGCTTGGTGTTAGGAGTGATCTTTTGCGCCTAAAAGCCACACGTTTGTGTTTACTCCACTTTCATACTGTGAACGTTCCCATCGCTGATGTGCCCTGTTGACCGGCTTTCAGAGCCTTTCGGCACAATGTCACTTCAGGTCACTCGTCAGCGAAAAGCAGCGCCTTCCCCGGTGATGTCCCCGTGGGAACGACCTCGGCTGCGGAGGGGAGGTTGGGGGGCGCCCACCCACACCGGGCTTTGGCTCCTTCACCAACTTAACGGGAACCGCAGTCAAACCCCTTGTGAGAAGAAGGCAACTAACTCACAGCACTTGTCTCCACCTGCCTAACAAGCCATTAAATAACGTACCTTCCGTGATCTAGGGTGTCAGAGGTCAGACCACTCAGGGTCCGGCTTGGGGCACGTGGGGGTTAGAAGACTTTCCACTGAGCTTTGCGGTGATTTGCTGGGTTACTCCGCAGAGCAACTTCAGGCCTTTTCCTCCCACACAGAGGGCCCTGGAGGGGCCACAGTGCAGAAATGGAGAAGAG